CCACCTGCTTTTAACATTTCTATCTTTATCCCATCAATCCCGGCTGCCTTACCCCCTTTCATTTTACCTACTGCCTCACGAACTTCCCCCACACTCACAACTGGCTCTTCCTCACTCCTACAAGATGTTATTCCTCCTTGCCCTATACACGAAATCACAGCTTCCCTATCTTCATCAACATTTAACAATTCCTCAAAATATTCCTTCCATCTTCCCAATACCTCTAACTCTCCATTTAATAACTCTCCTCTCCTATTTTTAACTGACAAATCCATTTGTTCTCTAGGCTTTCTTAACTTGTTAATCTCACTCTCCAAAAACTTTTTCTTATTTTCAACAAAATTTGTTGATAACATCTCACCCACTCTCTCATTTGCTCTCTTTTTACATTGCTTCACCACTCTCTTAACTTCTCTCTTTTTTCTCCATATACTCTTCCCTCCTTGCATCACTTCTACTTTGTAAAAACTTCTCATATGCTAACTTTTTCTCCCTTACTACTCTCTTTACATCATCATTCCACCAATCGCTCCTCTTCCCCTCCTGCACCCACTTTCCTGTAACCACAAACTTCTGCTGAACACTCTAACACTACATTTTTAAACCTACCCCATACCTCTTCGACCCCATTGCCTATGCTCTCATTAGCCCATCTATCCTCCAATAGCTGTTTATATCTTACCCTAACTGCCTCCTCTTTTAGTTTATAAACCTTCACCTCTCTCTCTTCCCTGATGCTTCTATTCTCCTTGTATCCCATCTACCTTTTACTCTCAGTGTAGCTACAACTAGAAAGTGATCTGATATATCTGTGGCCCCTCTATAAACATGTACATCCTGAAGTCTACTCAACAGTCTTTTATCTACCAATACATAATCCAACAAACTACTGTCATTTCGCCCTACATCATATCGTGTATACTTATTTATCCTCTTTTTCTTAAAATATGTATTACCTATAACTAAACCCCTTTCTATACAAAGTTCAATCAAAGGGCTCCCATTATCATTTACACCTGGCACCCCAAACTTACCTACCACATACCCTCTCAAAAAGTTTCTCCTACTTTAGCATTCAAGTCCCCTACCACAATTACTCTCTCACTTGGTTCAAAGGCTCCTATACATTCACTTAACATCTCCCAAAATCTCTCTCTCTCCTCTGCATTCCTCTCTTTCCAGGTGCATACACGCTTATTATGACCCACTTCTCGCATCCAACCTTTACTTTAATCCACATAATTCTTGAATTTACACATTCATATTCTCTTTTCTCCTTCCATAACTGATCATTTAACATTACTGCTACCCCTTCCTTTGCTCTAACTCTCTCAGATACTCCAGATTTAATCCCATTTATTCCCCCCACTGAAACTCTCCTACCCCCTTCAGCTTTGTTTCGCTTAGGGCCAGGACATCCAACTTCTTTTCATTCATACATCAGCAATCATCTGTTTCTTGTCATCCGCACTACATCCACGCACATTTAAGCAACCCAGTTTTATAAAGTTTTTCTTCTTCTCTTTTTTAGTAATTGTATACAGGAGAAGGGGTTACTAGCCCATTGCTCCCGGCATTTTAGTCGCCTCATACGACACGCATGGCTTACGGAGGAAAGATTCTTTTCCACTTCCCCATGGACAATAGAAGAAATAAAAAAGAACAAGAGCTATTTAGAAAAAGGAGAAAAACCTAGATGTATGTATATATATATATATGCATGTGCGTGTCTGTGAAGTGTGACCAAGTGTAAGTAGGAGTAGCAAGATATCCCTGTTATCTTAGCGTGTTATGTAAATTTAGAGACCCTTCCTTCTCTTTTCTCTTCTTCCTCATTTCTGTTCCTCCACTCTACCTGTTACTGTCCTTATCACCTAGTGCCACTGACTTTTCAGTATTCATCAGTAACTCAGTGTGACACACTTCACTGACATTCTTCAGCGGCATGATCTCAGCTATAAATTAGCTGTTTCTGGTGATAACACAAATTCTACATTGAATGTAGAGCCTATTTTGTACTAAGTGTTGTTAAGTAGGCCAGTCACTGTCTGTCGATTGAAGCTGAAACAGTTAAATTTATGATATATTCCTTTTTCTCTAGTTATACTGTTAGAGTAGAAGACCTCAAGGAATTTTATAAGTTTGCTGACATTAAATATGTACTACTAGGATACAGTAAATCTAGATGGCTGGCACTGATGCCTGCAGTTATAAGAATTCTAAAAGTGAGTTAAAAGCCCTGTTATTGTACAGGTTGGCCATCACTAATCTGGCATCATTGGGACCTGTAGTGTGCCGGATTAGTGAGTTTTCCGGATTACAGAGTGGTTAGATTAGAATACACTTAATTAACCTATCAATAGAAACTCTTTCTGCTACATCTTCCTCATTTTCATCACTGCTTTCTCCTCCACTGGCTTGCGGCTATGGATTTACATCCATCTGCACAATTTCTGAGTCAGTACTTTAATGATGAAATTTGAGTCAGTATAATGATGAAATTTGAAATTATGCTAACCGAAATTAGTGTCGGATTACTGGTGGAACCGGATAACTGATTGCCGGATTAGTGATGGCCAACCTGTACTAGAGTTTTATTGAAAACCCATATACGTACTGTACATTATGCTGACTTAACTTCGTACACAGTCAGGCAGCAACTTTTCATCTAGTTTGTTCAAAGATTAAAAGGAAAAACATCATCTGTTGAACTTATGACTACAGTTTATGATGTGAAGTAAAATCTTCTCTCAAGGAAAGTAAGCATTTTTCTGACAAATTCAGTCAGGATTATAGTAAACAAACTTGTTCAAGGTAAATTGATTGATTCATCATCAGTAGTGAACACAGTAGCACATTTTTAAAATACATGCCAACATTGGTTGACTTACATTCAAGAACTTGAAAATATGCAATTTGCCTCACTAAATAAACTTCCAAGTTAGTCAGATATTGAAAAATAATGATATATGCTTCAAGGAAAGAGTTTTTAATCTAAATTTGATACTAAAGTGTTTTATGAGTCTTCATGTTCTTAACAGTACAATAGTGATGAGAAAATATCAGTGGAATGCATCAAAGTTACCAGCAGATCAATGCTGAGTGAAACTATTTACTCATTTCAGAGACATACATCAGCCTACACACACTTGTCGACATTAACACAGTTTAAATTGTCTCCCAGGAACTAAATCTTTTGAATGTGATTTTTCATGAGAGAATAAGTTATGGATGCTTAAAAAATCACACAACAAAGTCCCAACACCTCAAGGTCTTTAAAGTGACAAAAATAAATTTTGGGCAAACCTGTTTGAAACTTCATAATACTACACTGAGATCCACCCCTGAGATACTAAAGAAAAATACAGAAAAATATGTGAAAATTAAAAGTACTGTACTATATGTTCAAAGATTAACAGTGCATTAGGTAAATTATAATTTTAACGTTACAAACATACATTAATTAAATAAAACACGTTCAGATATTTGGGAGTGGACATGTTAGCGGTTGGGTCTGTGAAAGATGAGGTGAATCATAGAATTGATGAGGGGAAAAGGGTGAGTGGTGCACTTAGGAGTCTGTGGAGACAAAGAACTTTGTCCTTGGTGGCAAAGAGGGGAATGTATGAGAGTATAGTTTTACCAACGCTCTTATATGGGTGTGAAGCATGGGTGATGAATGTTGCAGCGAGGAGAAGGTTGGAGGCAGTGGAGATGTCATGTCTGAGGGCAATGTGTGGTGTGAATATAATGCAGAGAATTCGTAGTTTGGAAGTTAGGAGGAGGTGCGGGATTACCAAAACTGTTGTCCAGAGGGCTGAGGAAGGGTTGTTGAGGTGGTTCGGACATGTAGAGAGAATGGAGCGAAACAGAATGACTTCAAGAGTGTATCAGTCTGTAGTGGAAGGAAGGCGGGGTAGGGGTCGGCTTAGGAAAGGTTGGAGGGAGGGGGTAAAGGAGGTTTTGTGTGCGAGGGGCTTGGACTTCTAGCAGGCATGCGTGAGCGTGTTTGATAGGAGTGAATGGAGACAAATGGTTTTTAATACTTGACGTGCTGTTGGAGTGTGAGCAAAGTAACATTCATGAAGGGGTTCAGGGAAACCGGCAGGCCGGACTTGAGTCCTGGAGATGGGAAGTACAGTGCCTGCACTCTGAAGGAGGGGTGTTAATGTTGCAGTTTAAAAACTGTAGTGTAAAGCACCCTTCTGGCAAAACAGTGATGGAGTGAATGATGGTGAAAGGTTTTTTTTTTCGGGCCACCCTGCCTTGGTGGGAATCGGCCAGTGTGATAAAAAAAAAAAAAACAGGTACGATAATTGTACAGATGATGTGAAACAATTATTTTTTTTCCAGTATTTAAAGAATATCTTACTCTTATCTCCAGAAAATCTGGTCACTTTTTATGTGGATCATGCTTTATAGAGGTGAGTGGGAAGAAAATGAGCATGTTGAGAGGAAGTTAAGCAACAGAAATAGAGTGGAATAAGATTGAGAAAACAGATGGTATATGGTTATGAAATGATGATCAGGTGAGGATAAAGACACTTATGTACAGTTCAGGACATGTCCTGAACTGTTCATAATTGAATCGCTGTAAGCAAGTCTGAGTAGCTCATCATTTTCTGGATTTCTGATCAATTTCTGAACTACTGATCATACCAGTTTAAATAAAAATTTTGGACAACTAATACATACTCTATAGTATTGTGCCTGCACTTTGAAGGATAGTTGGGAAATTGCAGTGTGGTGAACTATTTGAAGTGAAATGTTAATTTTTTTTGCCTTCTTAGAGTCACCGTGTCTTAGTAGGAAACAGCTGTGTTAAAAAATATCAGTGTATGATTTATTGTACATTGTGGAATATACTGATTTTACTGTACTGCAGTACTAGGCACAAATATTTAAAAAAAATACAGTACTTGCTCCAAATAAATATAAAAATTGAAACTTCTGATGGTTTGTTAACTCTGGAATGTTGCATATAATGTGTGATGTACCAGGTATGCTCGTCTGCTGTGTCATCACCCATACGCGGTGTTAAGCAGTGTAGTGGTGGTGGTAGTGACGTGTCTTGTGCTCTCCCTTACCGCCCGACCACTGCCAAACTTCACTGAACCATCCTTGGTAAGTCTCCTCTCATTTGTTTATGTTCTTTATTAACACCAATTTTTGTTTAATACAATAATCCCTTGAGTAACAATGTTAATCTGTTCAACAACATATATCGTACCTCAAAACTATTGTAACTTAAACCCCAAAATATATGGTCTTATGGTAATTTGTTCCAAGATGCTAGAAGACACCCAACCTGTCCTTGAATACTTTTGTTATTTAAACACTGATGTTTTCTGAGTGGTAAACAAACATGGGTTTCGTCTTGAAATCTGCAGAGGTATTTACACCCAGCAGCAGTATAAGCTTATCTTTTATAGGCTTATGCCCAGGCAAAGTGACAGGAGATGGCAGAGCAGGCAGGACAGGGCAGAGGAGACAGGGTAGGCAGGACAGGGCAGAAGAAGCAGGGTAGGCAGGACAGGGTAGTGAAAGTAGGGTAGGCAGGACAGGGTAGTGGAAGGGCAGGTAGGCCAGAGCTGGCAGGGCAGAGCAGGTCCAGGCAGGGCAGGCCAGGGCAGGGCATGGCAGGCAGACCACAGCAGATAGGGCAAGTAGGCAGGTAGGGTAAGCTGGGGCAACTACAGCAAGGTAGAACAGGCAGATCAGACAGGGCAAGACAGGCTAGAGCAGGCAGTTCAAGACAGGTGAGAGCTGGCAGGTCAGGACAGGCCAGAGCTGGCAGGTCAGGACAGGCCAGAACTGGCAGGTCAAGACAGGCCAGAGCTGACAGGCCAGAGTTGGCAAGTCAGGACAGGCTAGAGCTGGCAAGGCAGGATAGGGTTGGGCAGGCAGGCAGGCAGGCAGGCAGGCAGGCAGGCAGGCAGGCAGGCAGGCAGGCAGGCAGGCAGGCAAGCAGGCAAGCAGGCAGGCAGGTAGGTAAGTAAGCAAGCCAAGGCAAAGCAGGGCAGGGCAGATATTGGTAAAGAATTGTAGATTTAATATTCACACATTTTTTTGTCGCAGTCTCCCACCATCCTTGTCTGGCACATGTACAGTCTCCCTCCCTCCTGTGTCTGCCTTTCACCCTCCCTCACCCCCTCTCCCTCCCTCCAGTTACATCCGTCACTCCATTTAAGATCTTTTCATCACCCTGTCTTGTTTCTGGGCTGAGGCCCACTCTCTTCTGCTAACCATCATATGAATATCTATCTCAAATTTTTCATTTCACCTCAAAACTAAATTCGTAACTCAAAATTATTGTAACTCAAGACCATCATAACTCAAGGGACCATTGTATTCTGTATAGTTATTTACAGCTTTACTAGACTAATGCCAAATGAGCCTGGCCCATGGGTGGGCTCTGGGAGTAGAAAGATCATGGAACTCATCAAAGGTATATCAAAGGTAAAGGTATGTAATATTTTTTGTAGCCTAACTGCTTGATGTTATGATACCCTAATTTACATATTTCCTAAATTAAATTAATACCATATTATACATATAATATCTTAAATATTAATTGTTTGGACTTGTTACTAGGGATTTGAGTCAAGAGGAACTGTGATCAGTCAGCGTGCAGTGGCCTGGGATAACCTTCTGGAAGCCACACGCCCTGGTGGCCCACTCAGTGTCAACCCTTCAGATGACCCCAGTTTTAAGAGCCAACCTTCCTCCTCTGGGAACAATGGAGACAAAGAAACAGAGAATAAGAAACGTCCAAATCACACACACCAAGTAAGCCATGGCAGAATTGTGTTGTACTTTGTTATCAGTGCTTTTAATCCTTTCAGGGTCGACAGGCCCCTCTTCCAAACTTGTTCTCAGGGTCGAAAAATATTTGAAAAAAAAAAAGTTCTTTTTTCTTATGAAATAATAGAGTTTTTTTTTGTGAGTATTATTGGTCAAAAAATGTTTTTTTTTTTTTTGCTATCAATACTTATGGAAATATGGAGGCATGAAGTTAACAGAAATTGAATTGCATACGGCAACATCGTCGACTGCCGGTCACCCGGTAATAGTTTTTTTTTTTTTTTTTTTTTTTATATTTTATTTTTTCAAGTAACTTTTATGGTCTCTGAGACCAATATAAAAACCATTTGGTATATATTCACTCAGTGTATACTACACAATAACAGCACAAACTTTGCTGTCATTATATTGTTTACGAAACATGTTTACACAAACCAACAATAAAAAAATGTTGTTTATTACTATTTTTCTATCATATGTATACACATATAGAGTCACTGGACAGGTTCCTATAACTACAAGAGGTTCTGAAAGCTTGTAGTTGTGTGAGGGTGGACTTGTAAATATGCTGAGTCACCAGTGTGTCTTGTGTCACAACGATGCATCATACCAACACTCACTAACCCTCACTGCCTTCCACAACACATTCCTTCCTTCCCACAAACCTACCACCCTTCTTTCCTTCCTTCCATCCTCTCCTCTCTTCCTACCTACCTTCCCTCCTTCCTTCTTCCTTCCTTCCTTCCTCTCATTTCTTCCTACCTACCTACCTTCCCTCCTTCCTTCCTTCCTTCCTTCCTTCCTTTTTTTTCTTCATACAAGTAATTTTATGGCCTGTGAGACCAAGATAAGGTATACTGAATGTATATTCACTCATTGTATGCTACATAATAACCGCACAGACAGTCATTATATTGTTTACAAAACATGTTTACACAAATCAGCAGTAAAAAATGTTGTTTATTACTATTTTTCTATCACATATATACACATATAAAGTCACTGAACACTTCCCAGAACTGCTACAGCTTCTGTAAAGCTCGTAGTTGTTGTGTGGGGGTGGACTTGTAAATATGCTGAGTCACCAGCGTAATTAGTGTCACAATGACAAATAACACCGTCACTCACCACCCTCACTGCCTGTCAACTCCCTCCCCACCCCACCAACCTATATGGAAATAAGTCACTGTCTGAATTTTTTGGGTTATCGTAGGTTGATGGTCTCCTTACTTCCTTCCCTCCTTCCTTCCTTCCCTCCTCTTATCTCTTCATTTCTTCCTTCCTTTCTCCCTTTCTTCCTACCTTCCTTCCTACCTTCCTTCCTACCTTCCTTCCTACCTTCCTTCCTTCCTTCCTTCCTTCCTTCCTTCCTTCCTTCCTTCCTTCCTTCCTTCCTTCCTTCCTTCCTTCCTTCCTTCCTTCAGGTTTCTTGGGCATTGCTTTCAGTCACAAACTCCTCAGAACCATGAAATTCATCTTCACTGACACTTCCATCTGTGTTTGAACTGTCACTTGGGAACAAAAGAGCCCCAGTTAGCTGAGGAGTGAGGAGTTTCTTAGCCCTAGACATGGTGAACAAGGTGTAATAAAATGGCTTTCCCACAATGCACCACTGGGTCCCCGATGTTTTTTTGTACCGTGCACACTGACCATGGAGACCCATTCTCTCACATCTAGGCGTACCAGCTGTTTCCTGCTTAATTTGAGGCCGCTAGAATTTACGCATACTAGTATGGCACCAACCCTGAAAGGGTTAATTGTTTTATGAAAAATCTCTCGATAGTAGTGCAAAGAATATTTCATCTTGGAGAACCTCCTGTGATATATTGGATTATTGCTGTATGAAAGCATCCTTCTTGTGTTCTCTCCTTATTAGGTTTCTTCATTCCCTAAACTGTAGGTCAAAAAAATAAGAAAAGGTTTTCATGTTCATGTATCTAATCTTCAGGTGTGAGACTAGTCCCAAGTATTCAAACTTACCTAACTGGCTAATAGTTTTATAAAATGATCAGATGTGATGATTTTTATAACACCCAGTAACAGAGTTTTGAGACTGCCAAGAATATTATTTTAGAATGATAAAATATCTAGGAACATAAGAGACTGCATCTATGTGTCAGGTAGTAGGAGGTACCTGTAACTACTTTAGTTTCAATGGTTCTACTACTTTCTTAGCCTGGCCTGAGGCTAAACTTCCTTACTGACTGTGTGGTTAATTAGGAGGTTGCTGCCAGCAGCAGCCTCTGACACGGCAGCACTAGGGAATATCTTCCCCATAGAATACAGGAGGGCACTGCAGTTTCGGCTCCCTCTTTTCGGAGTCCCACTATTTCAACCATTTTCAACTGAGCCATTGTTCATTACGTTCTTGCTGTTACAATTTTTCCACCATTATCACCATTTTCGTTTAACATTTGTGTAAGGGAAGGACAACCAGTGCTGTATTTAAAGATATGTATTATATGTACGTACTGTGTTTATTTTACTTTTTGTCCTTTTTTTTATTCCTATCTGTATTGAGCACCTAATATATGATAGTGTTAACATGTTATCAGGCATTTTAGATGCATTCAATAATGAAAAAACAGCCCTTTGCACCCTCCAGCAATTTTTGCTTATTGTTTGGGATCGTGAACCTTTGAGCCATAAGAACGGTGCCCTTCTGTAATTTAAAAAAAAAAAACTTGGTAAATCTATGGCTCAGCTTATGAGCCTGATCTTCCACTAGGGGGCTGTGCCCACATCTGACAACTTCTTTAACCCTCCATCTCCCACTTCTTTACTACTCCAATGCTAAATGTCTGGTATGCCTTATGGACTTGATCTACTTCCACTAGTTGGTCCCACCCACATGTGTTTTCAGTTGCTGCATCTTTCCACTACTACTGCCTCTGGTATAAAAAGGAACCATTTTTATGCCTCTGGATTAAAGTGATAAAGATTGCCATGTAGGCTAATCATATCTCAATGAAAACACCTAGGTGTTGCATATATGACACCTAGGTGTTGCACATGTGGCACCTAGGCATTACACATGTGACACCTAGGTCTTGCATGTGACACCTATGCATTGCACATGTGACACCTAGGCATTGCCCATGTGACACCTAGGTATTGCCCATGTGACACCTAGGTGTTGTCCATGTGATGCCTAGGTGTGGTACATGTGACAGGTGTTGCCGATGTGACACCTGGGTAACAATAACAATAAGTTTATTTTAGCAAAGGAATGTAACACTTTGGTGAACATGCCAAAAGCCCCTTTACATGCAGAATATTTTGGGCAAGCTTAAGACTAACTTAAGATTAATAAGGCAATAACAGTGCTGTAATTTTACATATGGTCATTAGGTGAGTTACAGTGAATAGAAGAAAACTGAATATTCAGGAAGTTCACCCTATATGGCTTTAGTAAGTATGGTAGAGAATAATTGCAGTTTTGATGTATATAAAAAGTACAGTAGAGTGGAACCCTGGATTTCAGCTGCTTTTTTGGCCAAAATCCTATCCTGGATTTTGGCCAGCAACTCAGAAATCGGCCATATTGGACGCGTCTGCCCGCCATGCCATGTGCGTGAGTCAGTCTGGCTGTCTTTCGGTGAGTGAGCCTCATTCATCCAAACATTTCATTATAATCCATTGTTTTTTGTAGTTGTTTATTGAGTGTGACTGTGAAATAAGCCACCATGGGCCCAAGAGCTAACCACTGAAGAGCTGCAAGACCTTCATCTGCAACAGCAACAGACCACAGCTGAGGAAATTGGTTCAGAGGAGGAGGAAGAGAGAGGGAAGAAGGTGTCTTCTTCAGCGATTAAGGTCATTTGTGCGAAGTTGAGGGAGGTGCAAAGTTTTGTGGAGAAATGTCACTCTGACCAAGCTGAAACCAGCCATATCTGCAACATGTTTAGTGACTAAACCTCGTCCCACTTCAGGCAAATCTTAAAGAGACGCCAGAAACAGACCTCTCTGGACAGTTTTTTTGTCCAACAGAGGTACAGTGACTCTCAAGCTGGTCCTAGCACCAGTAAAAGACATAGAAAGGAAGTAACCCTGGATAGGGACTTGATACCTGAAGTCCTTATGGAGGGGGATTCACCTTCCAAACAATAATCAGTCTTCTCTCTCCTCCTCCCTGTCTTCTATATGCCAACAAGAATCTTCATTAACCCTTTCAGGGTCGACAGGCCTTCTCCTAAACTTGTTCTCAGGGTCGGAAATTTTTCAAAAAAAAAAAAAAAAAAAAAAAAATTCTTGTGATATGATAGAGAATATTTTCCTGATCATAATGACACCAAAAGTATGAAATTTGATGGAAAACTTACGGAATTATGCTCTCGCAAAGTTAGCAGTCTCAACAATGTTTACGCATCGGCGATTTCGCCCACTTTGAGCCCTATTTTTGGCCAGTTCCAATGGACCAGTTGACAAAATCATACCTATTTTGCTAGAACTCCAGAATGCAACAGTTTAGAAGTACAGTGGAACCCCGCCTTACGTTCCTGAGAGCTCATTGTAAGCCAAAATTATCGTTAGCTGAATTAATTTTCCCCATAAGAAATAATGGAAATCAAATTAATCCGTTCCTGACCCCCCAAAGTATGAAAAAAAAAAATTTTACCACATGAAATATTAATTTTAACCCTTAAACGGTCCAAACAGATGGACGTTCAAATCCGTAGTGCTCCAAAAGTAGATCTACGTTTTTTTTTACATATTTTCAAAAATAACAAAAAAAACAAATGTAGATAAAAGTTTTTTTACACATTTTTAAATGTAAAACAAGAAAGAAGATCTACATTTTTTTACATACTTTCAAATGTTGAAAAAATGTACATATACGTTTGGACCATTTAAGGGTTAATACACACAAACTGAAGAAGACATGCACAATTACTACTCTACTAAGAATAGAATACATGACACTTACCTTTATTGAAGATCTGGTGATGATTGATGGGAGGGGAGAGTGTGGAAGTTATTGTTTA